TTTTATCTTTCCTTCTCTTTCTCTGTTTTACTCTTTACCCTCTCTCTAATCAGGGAGGAAAAATTTTCCCAAAAATATCCCCCATACATGCATAGGCATACATGTCTACCTTTTATGTCTTATATGTATGTAGTTAAATATTGAAATTTACGAACATAGGGTACAACTTAAGCAGTGCCATGAAACACGATTACAACAAGAACAAGTAATTCTATTGCCCTCATTACTTAAAAATTTAGATAAGTAAACTGAGAAAGAAGAAGCAGTCTTTGAAATGATACAGAGCAGTGGCGGCCTTTGTGATCGTGATTTACGTAGGTACGTGTATTGATAAACAAAACACATTCCTGAAAGAAAATTCTATTAGTCAAAACCTAATATACTACGATTAACTGTACATTTGGAGTTATTCTAACCTCCAGCATTAACATTTAAAAAACAATTCTATTAAAATAATCTAAGGTAGGCTGGGGATGGTGGCTCACACCTGTAATCCGAGCACTTTGGGAGGCTGAGGTGGGCAGATCACTTTAGGTTAGGCGTTCGAGACCAATCTGGCTAACATGGTAAAACCACGTCTCTACCAAAAACATAAAAAATTAGCCGGGTGTGGTGGGTGTGCGCCTGTAATCCCAGCTACCTGGGAGGCTGAGGCAGAATGGCTTGAACCCCAGAGGTGGAAGTTGCAGTGAGCAGAGATCGTGCCACTGCACTCTAGCCCGGGCAACACAGTGAGACTCCAGCTCAATACATAAATAAATCAATAAATAAAATAAAATGATCTAAGGTGTATGTGTGTGTGAAAGACAACAGAACATGTTAGGACTTAGTTTTGAGCTAATCATTGTGGTGTGTCTGCAAACTATCCAGTTTTAGAATGATGTTCTTCGTTTCTTCTAGTCTTATTTCCTATAAGCAAACTGCATTCGGGTTTGGATTAATAGTAGTCTTTGCATTTAAGCCCAGTTTGCTCCCAGTGCTGGAGCAAACCCATCTTACAGATGAGGCTGTTTGCACATGCAAGTTAATTCATTAGGAAAGCTGTAATTAAGAAAAGGCATGTACCAGTACTTCGCCTATTTAATTACAAACTAAATGAAAGAGCTTGAGAGAAGTGTCAACTTGACAATTGGCTCAAAGCCTTTAGCAAGTAAGAGTTATGGATGATCTCTTTGTTTCATTCAGGAAATTTTATCAGATGAGAACTTTGGTCTGGCTTCCATTCCCACAACTCCACTGACCGCGTTCTCACCAGGCTAGTCAATGTTGTTGGTCAGTTTTGTTGCCAAATCCATCATGTGCTGTTCTTTGTTTTTTGTTTTGAGACAGTCTCGATGAATGAATTCATCACATAGTCCCCATCTACATGTTTATTTTGTTTTTGTTTTTGTTTTTTTTTTGGAGACAGAGCCTCGCTCTGTTGCCCAGCCTGGAGTGCAGTGATGATCTTGGCTCATGGCAACCTCCATCTCCCAGGTTCAAGCAAATCTTCCATCTCAGCCTTCTGAGTAGCTGGGATTACAGGTGCCTGCCACCATGCCCGGTTAATTTGTGTATTTTTAGTGGAGATGGGGTTTTACCATGTTGCCTAGGCTGGTCTCGAACTCCTGACCTCAGGTGATCTGCCTGCCTTAGCCTCCCAAAGTGCTGGGATTATGGGCATGAGCCACTGCGCCCATTGAGCCCTGTTTGCTTATTATATATCCCATAAATATTGCATCAATGAGACCACTAGTTACGACAGTAAATAAATTCAGCAATTATTTTTTTTGAGACAGGATCTCACTCTGTCATCCAGGCTGGAGTGCAGTGGTGCCATCACAGCTCACTGCAGCTTCATCTCCCAGGCCCAAGCGATCCTCCCACTTCAGCCTACTGAGTAGCTGGGACTGTAGGCACATACCACCATGCCAGGTATTTTAAAAAATTCTTTATACACATGGAGTCTCACTATGTTGCCTAGGCTGGTCTCTAACTCTTAACGCAAACTCTCCTCCTGCCTTGACCTCCCAAATTGCTGGAATTACAGGCATGAGCCACCGCACCTGGCCTATTAGTTTTTTAAGGGAAAAAAATTAAGGATACTTACAAATGACTATTTGAGGGCATATTTTGGTTGGGAATATGGATATTTTAATTCTGGTAGAAACACGTTATTTTGCTTTTTTAAAAATGGAAGAAGATGCTGTATTGAGGTAAAATAACCTGGGTGTTAGGAGCAAACAAACCTGTCTTTAAACACCAGACAGCATTCCTTTAGCTGTTCGCTCTTTTTTTTCATCTGTAAAATGAGGATTGTATTCAACTTAGAAAGTGTTGTAAAGGTTAAGTAAGTGACATATAAAATGCACCTGAGATCGGGCGCAGTGGCTCACCCCTGTAATCCCAGCACTTTGGGAGGCCAAGATGGGTGGATCACCTGAAGTCAGGAGTTCAGCCTGACCAACATGGCAAAACCCCATCTCTACTGAAAATGCAAAATAGCAGGGTGTGGAGGCCGAGGCAGGCGGATCACCTGAGGTCAGGAGTTTGAGATCAGGCTGGCCAACATGGCAAAACCCCATCTCTATTAAAAATACAAAAATTAGCAGGGTGTGGTGGTGGGTGCCTGTAATCCCAGCTGCTCAGGAGGATGAGACAGGGAGAATTGTTTGAACCCAGGAGGCAGAGGTTGCAGTGAGCCGAGATTGTGCCATTGTACTCCAGCCTGGGCGACAAAGCAAGATTCTGTCTCACAAAATAAAATAAAATAAAATAAACAAAATGCACCTGATTATAGGGTTTAGTAAATATTGTTTACCTTTCTCTCCTTGGAGTAACTTAATAACCTAATAGGTTAGTAGATTACATCATTTTTATTTTATTTTATTGTTATTTACGTTTTTGAGACAGGGTAGGCTGGAGAGCAGAGTTGTGATCCTAGGTCCTTGCAGCCTTGACCTCCTGGGCTTACGTGATCCTCCCGCCTTAGGACAACAGGTGCATGCCATCATGCCTAGTTAATTTCTAAATTTTTTGGTGGGGATGGAGCCTTCTATGTTGTCCAGGCTGATCCCAAACTCCTGGCCTGAAGGCTTCCTCGTGCTTCAGCCTCCCCAGGTGTCAGGGTTCCGGTGTGAGCCATCACACCCGGCCAATTACATCATTTTTAGATGTAATTTTTACATCATTTGGTCTTTGGCCAATATTGTTTATAGAATCTAAGTATCTAACAGTTGTTATTCTTCCTTTTTTTTTTTTTTTTTTTTTTTT